AAGCATGGTATTAAATGGACCATATCGACATCATTATGAATAGATAAGATTCTATTAAGAATGAGTTGCCATATGGAAAGTATGGAAGCGTGTCCATATTGGGAATTGAATATTGAAAAATCTATGTCTAGATTAGAAACTTTTATGCAAAAGGATGTTGAAAGGAATGTACTTTGAGTGAGAGACATCATATCTAAGGAATTGTCTTGTAACAATCTACGATAAAAGCTTTTGTAACATCATTAGCAATAGTCTTTGTGACTTTGGTGCAGTGACATTACGAAAGAATCATTGCATAGAATGTTAGAATCTAGCATATTCTATAAGTAGCAAGAATTTTGATATTCTTTCACTTATGAAAAAGGATTTGGAGTTGTGAAATGAGAATGATTGGAAATGTGTTCAATGTGATCTATTTCACAAAGTAAGAACCATAGGTGAACATTGTGTGCATGCTAGGAGCATGGGATAAGTGTTGTAATTCAAGTAAGAAGTTGATTACCCGAAACGACAAATAATGAGTAATCGAATATGGTGATAAATAAAAGGAGTTTTATTTATACTCAAAGGTTGAGGCCATATGGGATTAGTATTATTCTTGTGTTTCACTTTGCATGTTTTGACTTCAGAATAATTTAGTTTATTAAGAATAATCGAATTATTCAAACGGGCCACAGTCGTTCATATGTTGGAAGTAGGTATGAATGAAGACTGTCATGAATTGGTGTGGATTGTCTAAAAGAGTATTGACATAAGCAAATGTTTGCTGCAACATTCATGAGTGCTTATGAATATGAATTTGAGCATTGGATTAAACCCACGCTCACTTGGATCACTCCATGAATTGTATCACGAGTGATTGGTGAGACGATAACATCTTATATTCTTGAAACCAGATGTGTGAGTTGTATCTTGCTAATCGGTTGCACATTGATAATATGTAAACGCACTAGTAACTTGGTGTTATAAAACATATTGTTGTGTGTGATTTGGTAGTAGTGCAAGCAAGCATTGTATCAAAGTTTATCCGTTCCTTTTATCCAAAGAGGATAAAAGCGATATCTTTGGGCCCCTCGATGTTTAGTGATGACAAACGTAAATGCTCGGCGGGCTAGGGCTAATTTGATTTGTTCAATTAGTCAGTCGTCATAAATCGGGAATCGAGAAATAGTACAAAGAGAATGATTAGAAATCATGTCTCATATGATATGTAGAATGGAGGAATATATGATCCCTTATCTAAGGACACGCGTATCTGATAGGATCAGAGTTGACAGCGGCTTTGGAAAGCTACGATTGCAGATCAGGATCTGAAGTCATACGCAGAATAGTTATTAGACTTATCCAAGTGGGAGACTGTTAGATTAGTGTCTAAGCCCATAACTATTTTGGTATGTACTTGACCCGATGGTGCATGGTCCTTTTGGGTTGCCTTCACCAAAGCAACTTGATAGGATGAATTATGGAGAGAAAGGATTAAATATGATTTATTAATATATTATGGGAATAATATATTAAAGGAGAAATCATATTGTTTAATTAATATTAGTCAATAATTAATTGGTAATTAGCTTTGTGACTAAAAGAGATTAATTAAACTTAAGGGACTGGAATTCTAATTATAAAATAATTATAATTTGGGCCATGGATTGCCTTATATTAAGGGATGGACGAATTCTAATGGGAAACCCATAAGGAAATCATCCATGGGCTTAATTAAATGAGTCTATGGGTTGCTTAGGGCTTAAGCATCCAAATTAGGGTTTCCTTGTTAGATAACCCTAATAGCCCAGCTATATAAAGACCCCTTAAGGCTAAAAACCGTGGCTAAGCTTCTTGTTAAGGTTTCTACACTTTTTGGTAGCCTCCAACCTCTCTCCTATTCATCCTCTTGCTTATGGTGTTTGTGAACCATTAGAGGAGTGACACTTGGGACTCTAAGCCTTCCAAAGTCAAATCAAGGAGATTTGGGATTGTTATTCCTACATAACAATCAAGGTAACATTATAAACTCATTCTTATGTTAATATGATTACTTGCATGCTAGAATTAGGGTTTATAGTCTTGGATTCAAAGCATGTACAATAGAGAGACCTAGATCCAAGCTTTCGGGTTTGTATGAGCAGATAGGATGTCTTATGACCAAAACCCATCAATTTACTCCTAATGCCTAGAATCTAACCTAGACTAATACCATGATGAGCTAAGGACTTGAAAACACCAAAATGCCTAAGTCCATGAGAGTTTAAGGTTGTAAACTCATGGAGAAATGGTCCATATACCGTAAACTCCATTTAGTAGTGTTTTGATGCCACACAACACTTCCTAAGGCTTAAACATGAAGTAGGAATACTTAGATTGGCTTAGAAAGCTTCAAACATCAAATGGTCACAAAGGGGGTGAGCTTACGACTGTAAACCTAAGGGTTTATGATCGTAAACCCTTTTGCTAGTGACCATAAGACCGTAGACTCATTAAAGTACTGTTCCTTGAACCCCAAACACATTAGCTTGTCCCTACAACACTTATATGCAATCCTTGAAGCCAATAACACTTGATAAAGGTGTTTAGCATACCCTAGGGTGTCTTAACTTTGTTTATTAGTTGTTTAAAGACTAATGTGATACATATATATGATATTATATGTTAACTAGGATCATAGAGTGTGTTCAAGACTTCACTTGACACCTAGCAATCCTACGTCTTCAATTCATCCGTACCACTCACTACAGATGAGTTCATACCCCTTTATCAGTGTTTTAAATGTTTTTATAGGGGGGATACAAGCAGAATCATGCTAGTTATTATATCAATCACATGTGATTATTAAGCAACATTCAAATGATTTACTACACATTAACTGTTTTACCAACCAGTTTTCTTTAAATGATTTTCATAAACGTTTTATATGTTTAAAACTCCTTATTAAACTGTTCTTTATATACTGTATGTTTCATTTCAAACTCATTTACAATTGTGTTTCAAACAAATTTTTTTCGTTATACTTAAACTGTGTTTTCAAACAAATACTTCAAAACCATTTTTATAGGCTGACATCAAGTCGACCTTTACCTAGATAGGAATGCCGTTCAAAAGTGTTACAAAACTTATTTTATTCTTTTGTATTGTCAATTGCATGCCTATATATGTATAATTATATAAGGAATGTTTAAAAGGCTTAGGAAGGCTTGCCCGCCCTATTTCCTTTTCGCCCTTGAGATGTGGTCTGGTGGGATCACTACTAGAAAACAGCCCTTTAATGACGCGCAAACAATGACACACAATGATAGAGGACATGCATTTGTCGGTGCCCTAAAAATGAATGTCAGCTTTCCTAAATATGAAGGATAGAGGACACGTATTTATGTGTGCCCTAAAATTAGAGTCCAACAAGAAAAATAAAAAACACGGAGGGCACCTACCATAAAAGAGCGTGTCGTGTAGAACTGTCGCTTTATAATTTTTTCATGAACGCGCGTTGTCCAAATTTTTAATTGCTAAGAGGGAAATGAAATACCAAAAATTAAAAACCCTGCCTATACTCTCCTTCTTCTTCTTGGTATGTTATGAAATCCTCATCGATCAAAAGAAACCCTAAAAGCATTGTGTGGGTTCCTGACATTCGATTTTTAGTTGTGAAGTTCCTTAAATTATATTTTTCACTTCCTAATATGCGATTTTCCCAAATTGGTGTTTGATGTGTAGAAGATCGATAATTTCATATTTTTGAAGTTCTTAAAATCCTCTTCCATCCATAGAAACCCTAAAACCCCTTTGAGCACCTTTTGATGCTTGTTTCCCTTACATATCAGGTACAAAAGTCAAAAGACTCATTGGTTTCCGGGCCAATTTAGCCTTTCAAACCACCTTCCGTTTAACCTCCGATGACTTTCTTTCATTTTCATCACCGGTTTTCACTCTCTTGTTCGGCTTACAGGAACAAGAAACGCGTTCGTGTTTGTGTTGCCAATTCCGATACTTCACCGGAATCCAAATCCCGGGGTTCAATTTCTCTCACGTTCACAATATTTCTAACTAATAATTCCTATAAAAATCTCTTTTTTCTGCTCTCTCTCAAAAACCCTATACCATCGTCTCTCTCTCCTCGGTGATCTTATCTAAAACATTCTTAGTCTACAACATCAATCTCTTTTCACTCATGCATATCACGAGATCCGGACATTGAAGGAGGCGAAGGCGGCAGCCTCAAGAACAATGGCAGAACCATTAACTCGTAAGTGTTTCATTTCAATCATGGAATCAATGAAATATATGTTGATGATTTTGGGATTCCTGTCTCCACTTGTTTATGCTTAACTGTGTGCTTGAAAAATGGGTTTTCATTTCTTTTTTCTTATGCTCAACTGGGCATTTATGTGTTTGAATTTTCACCGATGCGGTTTCTCGTTTTTGCTATATTTGTAAAGTGAAGGTCTCGATTTTTCGATTTGTTTTATTCTTCTTATGTTATGAATGCGCGAGTCTAAACATAAATTATGTCGACATTAATGGTGGAATAGTATTCACATAAAGAGCTACCTTTCTTCAAATCCTAATTTTTCCTATCTGACATTGCATTTTGTTAGCGATTTTGATTGAATGTTCGCAAGTTTTTATGCGAACAAATACACAATCATAGGGGCATTTTCAAAGTGATTATTGCGATTTCAAAGAATCATAATCAGATAATTAGGTGTATCCCACTAGGGCTAGTTAGGTAATTCCACATTTATCTCAATAATTAATTTTCTTAAAGCAAATTCATATCTGCACATCTCCATATCTGGATAATTTTGTCGTCAAATAATAAAAAATTCAAAATCATAAGCTGAGTACTGTGAAGTCGAATCATGATAATCAGTTTAAATTCGCATCCAAACAATCTCCACATATACAATTGTATCTTATTCAACTATTATGCTACTCTTTTAAACTTATGAACAATTCACTATATGAAATATTTTGTTCTTTTTTTTTTCTTTAACTTTTTGATTGGATCAATGGCCAATGGGGACAAAACTCAATCATGTAAACTATATATAGAGTGTTTTTCTTACTTAATACAAAAAGAAAGACTTATTAAGTCCTAACTTTTTACAAATATGTCCTCATATATGTTTTCCTTATGTAATTTGATCTTTCTTTATAGGGAAATTTATAGCTGGAAGATCTGAATCCAAATCTTTTGTAGTTAGTGCAATAGAGAAAGTGATTGATGGATCTTCTTTAACTGGGCAATTAGAAGCTCTTGATGCAGATTCAGAACATTCCAAAGTTTGTTAATATGCATCCATTCACATTTTCATATTAGGGTATGTAATTGTATTAGCATAACGATTTTTATTCCACCAAAATAACAAAATTTTATTTTCATTTGTAGTTTTTTACACTATAAGATATTATAACACTTGTGGAAACTTTCAGGACGAATGTTTTTTTAATGGAAAACGATATGCATTTTTTGCTTCTTTATTTTTTGTATAAAGTTTTTGGTTGTTTATGTTGATTTTTACTTAAACAACAATAATCAAGACTACTTCTTGAAGTGTTACTTATAATTTTATCAGATCTTATAATACTTTCTGTAAACGAATTTGAAAATAAAAGTAGTATCAAGTATCTTTATAAAACATTATTGTTCTTTCTAACTTTTTAATTGAAGTTCTTTACTTTTGTAAACAATATTAAGCGATAAGTTTTCTGATACTTAATGTAAGTAAATCATTTTTCCTCATACACTTTCCATGGTGCTTTCTGATTCTTTGATTTAGATAAATCTTGATGAAGAACAACTTGATGAAATAAATGAAAAGGATTTTGTTGCTTCACCAGTTCTTGTTGAAGATATTGCAGCAATGGAGGAAGTAGGTTTAGTTTCTTTATTTGATATTGATAAAGAAAGTGAAGAAATTAGAAAATTATCGATTCCTCCTCCTGGAAAAAGGGAGAGAATATATGTAATTAATCCACTTTTAACCAATCATCGTGAACATCTTTAATATAGGTGAGATATTTTTATTTTTATTAATTTTTAAAGCATCTTACTTTCATTTCTTTCTATTATTACAACATTATAATCAACTGTTGCAATGTCATACAAATACATAACAATTTTCATTACTATGATTTGGTAGATTTTATAATTTTAATACGAATAACTATAAGTGCAATGATGTAATTAAGTAGATTTTTGAAAGTAAAATGTCTTGATAAGAAAAAGTATGCTATAAATAGGTATATTTTTTAACGTTGCACTAGAAAGAAACAAAAGTAGGATGCTTTAATCAACAAATAAATGAAAGTACAATATTCATTTATCCTATTTTTCTTAATACTTAATAATCATTTTGCTTTATGTATTCAATTTAATACAAATATTCATTTACTTGTTACTCGATATAAACTGGGTTCCAGTAAAAGCATACGTTTTTATTTCCTTTTCATGACTTAGGAAGTATATTTAATTTATCTATTTTTTTTCCTTTTATAGGTTAACAATCTTGACCGAGGAATTGACTGCCTAGAAGTCAAAATATGTACAGGTGAGTTGGCCAAGTTCTTGTGTTTAGTTTATTAAAAATTAAAAATGAATTAATAAGAGAGTTAACCTTGTTCTAGTTTCAGTTATATTTTTTATTCTATGTTTATGAACTAGGGGAAATGGGATTCCTAAAGTAATCTCTGTTCTTCTTTAAAATCATGATTAGTCTCAGTTTGTCTACGTTCACTACTGATTGGGGTTTCTGCGTATTAGGAGGTGCCGCAATCACATGCAATCTTGTTGAGGTTTCTTCACAGTTGCCGGAGGAAATGATGTCTGGATCTTTATCTTGGCCAGTTTTTGAAATGGATTGGAGCAAACTCCCTGGAATTTCAGAAACTTCAGTTATATTGGATGCTTTTAAAGAACAAGAAGCTTTTGACTACAACAGTTTCGTTGTTATTCATGGAGGTGGTGAGTAAAGAATCTTGCTTGCTTATTCATTCTCTATGATAAAAAGTTTTCACTGAAATTAATTTCCAATGATTTGGCACATTAACAATCAAGTTTCCTTTTTTTATCCATTTTATGTGCCACTTTGTTTTTCAGGTTCTTTTGGTCACTTCCAAGCTAGCAAATCTGGTGTTCATAAAGGGGGGGTTGAATAAACCTCTTGTGAAAGCTGGCTTTGTTGCTACTAGGATTTCTGTATGCTCTATTGCTTTACCACTAGCTTATTATTGTTGTTTCAAGGCTATACCCTCATTCTATTTTTTTTTCAAGTTGTATCTTTGTAATATCACCTTTTGTATAAACTTCACCTTCATTGCCTTTTTAGTATATCTTATGTTATTCATTTACTACTAAATTTATGTCTAACTGTTTCTCATTTTATTAGGTGACATCCCTCAATCTTGAAATAGTTAGAGCACTTGCAAGAGGTAGACTTCTCATTACCAAACTAAAGTTTCCACTCATTTTAATTTTGACTTCTGGATATCCAATTACATGTTGACTTATGTTTTTAACTCCTTTTGCATAGGGTATTCCATCAGTTGCGATGTCTCCATTTTCTTGTGGATGGTCAACCCATGAAAGAAATGTTAGGAAGCACTCAAAAACTATCGTCCATCAACTCATTTTAAATTTATACTCCTTTTACACAACAATACAACAATAACAATCTTCTGGTTTTACAGATAGCATCTGCTGATGTGTCAACAGTGTTTATTGCCCTTGACTGCGATTTTGTTCCAGTAAGTTTTAAGTTTCTCAACATAAAAGGTTAAAATTGTCATTTACTATCATTCACAGTGTTCATTCACAATACGACCTTGAAAAATATATGATATTGTTACATGATTCTAACAATGATAATTTGATATTGCCATGTAGGTTTTTCGCATGGGGATGCAGTACTCAATGAGTCACTGGTAAGTAGCATCTAACAATAGGGATGTAATTGTAAATTGTAATTGTATGCACTATATTAAGTGGAGATGTAATTATAAGTCATCTTGCAGCACATTTGGTATAACTAAAAAAATAGAATACTTAGTCAAAAAAAATAATGAAACATTAAAATACAACATCGTAAAACTTCGTGTTGAAGTTGTAAGAAAACAAAGAAATCGAAGCATCAATTGTGGTTTAATTCAAATTCTGGGACAAAAAGAGTCCCATGGGTATTTTTGGAATATTTAGTTTTTCTAACTTTTATGCGTAGTCTTAGGGGCTACAAAAGTTGCTGGTGTTAGTGATGAAAGACAAGGTTCAGAGTCAAAAAGTGTTGTAGAGCTAACAAATGGTTCTTCAGGTATGCAATACTCTAGGCGTAATTATAATATAAAACTATAAAAAATTTCATTTTTTGATATATATTTTTTGTTTTGTTTTGCAGAGGATACCCATTCCTCTACAATGTTTTTTTGTTTCTGTGTATTTTGTCCATCATTTAAAGTTGATGGAAGAAAGGAATATGAAGCCACTTGATTCAAATCTTGCAGCATTATCAGCAAGTTACAGTAAAGACTGAGAGTTGAATTTAGCTAAGTCATTCTTGAGTGAGATGGGCCAATGTACAACTGGCTATCCATATAATCAGCTGCTTGGAGCATTTGTCTTAAAGAATTATGAAAGGCAAGATGCAACTTTACTTAGTTAGAATTTGATGTATAGAGTATATTACATGAAAATTTAGATATTGTAAAAAATAGAATTGTATGACATTAAATTTTATGCAATGGATTGTATTTTTTGCATATGATATTTTATTTCTATTATGAGATATTAGATGCAAATTTAATTTAAAAATTAATAAATATACAAATATATTTTTTTTAAAAACATTTAAAATTATGATACGCAAAAATGTGAGTCATCTTCATTTATGACATGGCCTTTCTTAATAGGGGCTTCCTTGATACGCATTACGTGTCATCAACACGTGCGTCGTAAGGTTACGACACACAAATACGTGTCGTCTTCCTTTATGACAGGGCCTTCCTTGATACACATTGCGTGTCATAACCACGCATCGTAAATGCGCATCATAAATGTGTGTCGTAAATGCGCGTCGTCTCTCTTTATGACAGGGCCTTTCTTGACGCGCATTTGCGCGTCGTCTGAGCGTTTTACGACGCGCAATGAGCGTCGTAAAAGCCTGTTTTTCTAGTAGTGGATATCGGGTACCCATCCGAAGGTCGTTTAAATATTAGTTATATATCATGTGTACATATATAGTCATAAAGGTTCTTCCAGTTCATTCAATACCCGTGGGTAGCAAAGGTAGACGTCCATGTTCATACGTACCACTTACATTACTAGTAAACTACCATATGGGTAGTTCAGGAAGATACTAAAACTATTACTAGAACACGATATCATGCATTGAGTCAGTTCATTCATGAGTCAATACTTGCTAGATAGAGAGAGATCACACGTTACAGCTAGTACACAAAGTACATTACTATACATGCCAGATAGAGATAGACCACACATTATAGGTAGGACACGCAGAACATCGCAGTACATTACTATACTATTACATAGATATGTTTACATGATTACATTTACACGAGTACATTTACATTAACATGCTTACATGAGTACATTTACATAGATAATATATGATGAGTTATTATTACATTTTATATGTATAGATTATGTTGTATAATCCTCATTATTATCTTTACCTTGTGATACAATCACATAATCGACGAGATAGATTGGATTTAATATCTTAGTACCAAAGGATACTTTTATGGGATTAACCATTCCTAGAATCTCTGTTAGCTACAGAGGTAAAAGCACATCCATGGATGTCAACGGTTGATACCATTACAGGTATACATTAATGGACGAACTATTCCTACACCCAGCTGTTAGCAACAGAGGTAAATGTACATCTATAGATGTCTTCAGTTAACACTGTTAGCTACCCTAGTACCAAAGGGTAATACTTAGGTTATTTATATTATTACCTTTATCTTGTGACTCATTCACATAACCGATGAGGTGAATTATATTTGAGTGTCCTAGTACCAAAGGATACAATTTCTTATAATAATAATAATAATAATAATAGCATAGTCGGGTCTTGGTAGAAGGCTACATTCAGAGAAGTTAGGTCTTGGTAGAATGCTACATTCAGAGCAGTTAGGTCTTGGTAGAAGGCTACATTCAGAACAGTTAGGTCTTGGTAGAATACTCCCTTTTATAATAGTAGGAATCATAAGGATTTCTAGGGTTTTTCAAACGTTTACAGTTGTTCTACAAACATTTTCATACTTTTACGAGCTTCCTTTCAAAACAATTTCAAGTCTTTCATTACAAGTTTTACAAATTAAGACACATTAATACTTATGATCTCACTAGCTTTAAAGCTGATACTCCCTTTCAAAATAACTTGTATCCTCAGGTCAACGATAGACAGGTACCAATGCAAGGTTTAGAGAAAATGGAGCTCAATCAAGACTCATCTTTCATTTTGATTATACTTTAGGGTCTATTATAATTTGGAAGAACACACTTGTATTAAAATTATATTATTAATGCAATGGATGATGTTGTTGCTTGTTTACTACTTTTCATTGTTGTGATATTGTACATGACGTCCTCCGCCCCAGAACATTTCCGCCGTTCACGGTTTTGGGGTGTGATAGATTGGTATCAGAGCATTGTTTATAGTGAATTAAGTATATCAACCCATAAAAGATATACAGAATATTAATACAATGGGATTAAAAATACTTTGACCAAGAGTTTATAGTTTAAATAATAAAATATTTAATTAAGTATACGCGCCTACATTCATACTAAAATCAATGTCACTAGGACAGTACAAAAGAATTACGATTGTTGGGCAACACAGGTGGACTTAGAGACATATAGTCAAAACTGGGAAGATATAGCCTGATCAGTTATATTATCCGAGGGTTGACTAGCATGTGCCTAAGTGTAGTTGTGTGGTTGCAACAAGTCTAAAATCTTACCAACAATACCATAATGAGAATAGTAGAACATAACATTAAACTTAAAATACTATAGGAGCATTTGGTGTTACTATAAGTACTTTATACTTGAGAACTAAAAGGGATCTTCATTTCTAAGTTGATAGTTGCTAATTGGATACACTAAAGTTATATGTAACTAGGATATTATAGACTTAGAATCTGTGAAAAATTTGCTTTACCCCTGTTCTTTATGAATTTGGAGTTAAGGTCACTTATTCGAAGGCCTATCCAGTTTCGATTACATATAACTGGTATGCACTTCACAAATAGTGATGTAACTAATGAATATTTTCTAAATAATTATCTAGATAGTTCGTCTAATAATTATTTTCTTACCCCAATTCTCACGTAGATAACATGGTTGGACTCCATCCCCACAGTAACCAGTACCTTCCGAATGAGGTCATTGATGGATGGTTTGGGGAGGAACCAGAGAATGATTATCCGATCCCTTTGAATGATCACCATGGTGAAGACCTTTCGGATGATGGTAACTCTGAACCCGAGGTTGAAAACATACCCCCGGTAGCTCCCATTCCAAATCCTAACCCTCGTCTGGCTTTTCATGGCCCGACGCCTCCATGGGTCGAATGTTTGGAAGCATGGAGCGAAGATCACGATCAACCTATGTTGTTTAATGGAAACTGAAGCTTCTACAACATAAATAAAGGGAGCACAACAGACAGAGTTCTACCAATCCTGATCCGTAGAGTTGCCCGAAACGAAATTCAGGGCAGGACAGCTCTACATCATATCACGGAAGTTGACACCAATGGAGGGATGCATATCCTTCGCACCAACAGCCTTGAACATGCTCGTGAAAGATCTGAGAGAGACCACGAAATCCTGCTGCAAGCACTAGCTGAAACCCGAGCCGAAGTCATAGAGCTCCGAGTACGTCAGACGGTATACAAAAGATACCTACTTGATATGGAACGTCAACTAGCTGAACTAAGGGTTCACCACAGGG